TAAAGTTTATTATTATAAGCTTTATTTTTTTTAAAAAATTTAATTCTTCAAAAAAATTTTTTTAATCCTAATTTTCCTCCCACACATTTTTATAATTGCCCATTTTCTTTTTGCCTTAAACCATTCCCGCGAACAGCGAACAACAAATAGCCCCGCCCACTTTGCCTTAGAGAATTTTTTCTTAAATATTGAGAAATTGAAAACACAGTGATTACGACCATACCGCGTTGAAAGCACGCCATCCCGTCCGATCTGGCAAGTTAAGCAACGCTGAGCTTCCTTAGTACTTGGAACGGAGACGTCCTGGGAATCGGGGGTGTCGTAATCTTTTTTTAATGCTTTGGCAAAAACTTGAGTCTAAGAAAACACACTTGAGTCTATAGAAAACAATTATTTAACTTTTTTATAAATTGTAGTTTATATATACATACCTTTACTTGAGTATATATTTTACTTGAGTCGATTATTTGATTGCTTGGGTAAATTTGATTGACTGGGGGGGGGGATTTTTAATCGGATCGTCACAGACTCATAAACCAAAAATGCCTGGTGAAATTTGATTGCCTGGGGGAACCCTATTGCCTGAACCCTACGACACTTGGTCAATTGCACTTTGGTCTACTTTGCCTGAGGCAATTTACCGCGTTGAAAGCACGCCATCCCGTCCGATCTGGCAAGTTAAGCAACGCTGGGCTTCCTTAGTACTTGGAACGGAGACGTCCTGGGAATCGGGGGTGTCGTAATCTTTTTTTAATGCTTTGGCAAAAACTTGAGTCTAAGAAAACACACTTGAGTCTATAGAAAACAATTATTTAACTTTTTTATAAATTGTAGTTTATATATACATACCTTTACTTGAGTATATATTTTACTTGAGTCGATTATTTGATTGCCTTGGGTAAATTTGATTGACTGGGGGGGGGGGATTTTTAATCGGATCGTCACAGACTCATAAACCAAAAATGCCTGGTGAAATTTGATTGCCTGGGGGAACCCTATTGCCTGAACCCTACGACACTTGGTCAATTGCACTTTGGTCTACTTTGCCTGAGGCAATTTTTAATCGGATCGTCACAGACTCATAAACCAAAAATGCCTGGTGAAATTTGATTGCCTGGGGGAACCCTATTGCCTGAACCCTACGACACTTGGTCAATTGCACTTTGGTCTACTTTGCCTGAGGCAATTTTTAATCGGATCGTCACAGACTCATAAACCAAAAATGCCTGGTGAAATTTGATTGCCTGGTGGAACCCTATTGCCTGAACCCTACGACACTTGGTCAATTGCACTTTGGTCTACTTTGCCTGAGGCAATTTTTAATCGGATCGTCACAGACACATAAACCAAAAACCCTATTGCCTGAACCCTACGACACTTGGTCAATTGCACTTTGGTCTACTTTGCCTGAGGCAATTTTTAATCGGATCGTCACAGACTCATAAACCAAAAATGCCTGGTGAAATTTGATTGCCTGGGGGAACCCTATTGCCTGAACCCTACGACACTTGGTCAATTGCACTTTGGTCTACTTTGCCTGAGGCAATTTACCGCGTTGAAAGCACGCCATCCCGTCCGATCTGGCAAGTTAAGCAACGCTGGGCTTCCTTAGTACTTGGAACGGAGACGTCCTGGGAATCGGGGGTGTCGTAATCTTTTTTTAATGCACTTTGGTCTACTTTCAATTGCACTTTGGTCTACTTTGCCTGAGGCAATTTTTAATCGGATCGTCACAGACTCATAAACCAAAAATGCCTGGTGAAATTTGATTGCCTGGGGGAACCCTATTGCCTGAACCCTACGACACTTGGTCAATTGCACTTTGGTCTACTTTGCCTGAGGCAATTTTTAATCGGATCGTCACAGACTCATAAACCAAAAATGCCTGGTGAAATTTGATTGCCTGGGGGAACCCTATTGCCTGAACCCTACGACACTTGGTCAATTGCACTTTGGTCTACTTTGCCTGAGGCAATTTTTAATCGGATCGTCACAGACTCATAAACCAAAAATGCCTGGTGAAATTTGATTGCCTGGGGGAACCCTATTGCCTGAACCCTACGACACTTGGTCAATTGCACTTTGGTCTACTTTGCCTGAGGCAATTTTTAATCGGATCGTCACAGACTCATAAACCAAAAATGCCTGGTGAAATTTGATTGCCTGGGGGAACCCTATTGCCTGAACCCTACGACACTTGGTCAATTGCACTTTGGTCTACTTTGCCTGAGGCAATTTTTAATCGGATCGTCAGACTCATAAACCAAAAACCCTATTGCCTGAACCCTACGACACTTGGTCAATTGCACTTTGGTCTACTTTGCCTGAGGCAATTTTTAATCGGATCGTCACAGACTCATAAACCAAATGCCTGGTGAAATTCGATTGCCTGGGTCTACTTTTGACAATGCACTCTGGCCTACGGCACTTGGATAAACATTTCTATAGTATATAAAAAAGACAAATCATCCGATCAAGGGCTAAGTCTCAGCAGATCGCAGCGAAGAGCTGCTCTACTGTTTACAACCCCCTGACCAGTATTCAAGTCGTATACAAGTGATTTTGCGCCCCGACGTTACACCTGCACGTGGAGTGCTAAGCTTTTAGCAACCAACTACCAATTATAGTAGAAAGAAAATGCCAGATACTGGGGCTTGTACTACCACAAAAAGTGGCATACATTTTGCCTTCCGACACCGGAGAGCGATATATATTGCTATCATGACTGGGCGGGATTCTGACTTAGTGATTACGACCATACCGCGTTGAAAGCACGCCATCCCGTCCGATCTGGCAAGTTAAGCAACGCTGAGCTTCCTTAGTACTTGGAACGGAGACGTCCTGGGAATCGGGGGTGTCGTAATCTTTTTTTAATGCTTTGGCAAAAACTTGAGTCTAAGAAAACACACTTGAGTCTATAGAAAACAATTATTTAACTTTTTTATAAATTGTAGTTTATATATACATACCTTTACTTGAGTATATATTTTACTTGAGTCGATTATTTGATTGCTTGGGTAAATTTGATTGACTGGGGGGGGGGATTTTTAATCGGATCGTCACAGACTCATAAACCAAAAATGCCTGGTGAAATTTGATTGCCTGGGGGAACCCTATTGCCTGAACCCTACGACACTTGGTCAATTGCACTTTGGTCTACTTTGCCTGAGGCAATTTACCGCGTTGAAAGCACGCCATCCCGTCCGATCTGGCAAGTTAAGCAACGCTGGGCTTCCTTAGTACTTGGAACGGAGACGTCCTGGGAATCGGGGGTGTCGTAATCTTTTTTTAATGCTTTGGCAAAAACTTGAGTCTAAGAAAACACACTTGAGTCTATAGAAAACAATTATTTAACTTTTTTATAAATTGTAGTTTATATATACATACCTTTACTTGAGTATATATTTTACTTGAGTCGATTATTTGATTGCCTTGGGTAAATTTGATTGACTGGGGGGGGGGGATTTTTAATCGGATCGTCACAGACTCATAAACCAAAAATGCCTGGTGAAATTTGATTGCCTGGGGGAACCCTATTGCCTGAACCCTACGACACTTGGTCAATTGCACTTTGGTCTACTTTGCCTGAGGCAATTTTTAATCGGATCGTCACAGACTCATAAACCAAAAATGCCTGGTGAAATTTGATTGCCTGGGGGAACCCTATTGCCTGAACCCTACGACACTTGGTCAATTGCACTTTGGTCTACTTTGCCTGAGGCAATTTTTAATCGGATCGTCACAGACTCATAAACCAAAAATGCCTGGTGAAATTTGATTGCCTGGTGGAACCCTATTGCCTGAACCCTACGACACTTGGTCAATTGCACTTTGGTCTACTTTGCCTGAGGCAATTTTTAATCGGATCGTCACAGACACATAAACCAAAAACCCTATTGCCTGAACCCTACGACACTTGGTCAATTGCACTTTGGTCTACTTTGCCTGAGGCAATTTTTAATCGGATCGTCACAGACTCATAAACCAAAAATGCCTGGTGAAATTTGATTGCCTGGGGGAACCCTATTGCCTGAACCCTACGACACTTGGTCAATTGCACTTTGGTCTACTTTGCCTGAGGCAATTTACCGCGTTGAAAGCACGCCATCCCGTCCGATCTGGCAAGTTAAGCAACGCTGGGCTTCCTTAGTACTTGGAACGGAGACGTCCTGGGAATCGGGGGTGTCGTAATCTT